TTTTATAATTCATCTAAAAATATTTCGTATGAAGTATGTATATTGTCGAACATGATATTAATAGCATTTAATAGAATGTTCCAACGTCCTCGGTTTTTTATCGTGTTTTTTTAAATACTAACATTAAATTACCGTGAAATGGTAAGTTCATCTAACTTGCTGCCCTCAACTCATCGCAACAATAGTTCAACCACCTTTACTGCCCACATTTATCACGCTCATTACATAACAAAGCATAGGATCAAAACAGAAAGCCGACAAGGTTCAAAGGCTGTCATTGACACAAATTGTCAACAACACACAATATGTTCGGACAAGGCCGACTGAGAAGAGGTCAACCAGAGAATAGTCTACGGCAAAACATATGCAAAACACAATGATGTGGCTAAATTTATTTTATTAATTTTTATAATTAATTTTTCTACCACGTATTTAAATGATCTTAAGAGTATTTTTACTTACAATTGTTATAAACCATAATGCTTTTAACTTGTATAAATAATATATGCTGTCAAAAAATACAACCCACAACAATAAACATACACAATTTTATAATTTTCAACAAATAAATCAAAATATTTCTAAAAAGATTTTTGTGACTTTTTTTCCGATAAAATTTTTCCATTGTGACTTTTTTTTTCCTAGCAAAAACTGACTTTTTTCTGTTTTTCTTCCTGTGACTTTTTTTTCGTTCACCTAGGTAGTAGCCTCCCCTACCCAACGTGTCCACATCCCATAGAATAGATCTTTGCCGTCTTTACTCTTTGAACTACCCACAATTCCTCGTTCTTTCTTGTGTGCAAGTTTAAGGTTAAAGTTTGAGCGTTGCTTGTATTTTTATTGACCACCAAACCATTGTGTACAGGGGACAAATTAAGTTCTTTAAAAAAATTAAGCCCACAGGAAGATTTTAAAGTGGTACAAATTAGGTGTTTTAAAAAAAAAAAGCATGAGTGTCGCCAGACCGGACGGTCGGCCATGGGTCAGATAGATGTGGGTGTCTAACAATAGCCGTGTTTTAGTGAGAATTGTAAAACGAATGTGTTGTAGTGGCGTGTGTAAAACGAATGTTGCCGTAGACGGAGGTTGATGTCCGGCCGTTGAGAGACAACTGGGCTGAGCTTGTTTGTTGTGAGGGGTCGATTGGTCAAGCGGTGACCCGTGTAGTGTAGAGACTGACGTCACGAGCTGTTGTTCTCGATCCACTTCACGCCTCGATACACTTGCTGGACGCCAGGGTTAGCTGACCCATACACACCGGTCAGTCGTCTGGTCATAACGCGCTGGTCAGTCGTCTGGTCATAACGCGGACAATGTTCTACCTCCCGCCTGTTTGTTTACCGTCCTACGGATCTCACCCGTCTCACCTGTCTCACCTGTCTCGTGTAAGTTTGGCTTCATCTTATTCTGTCAACTCATTTATTTAGCTTATCATTAAACTATCATTCTGTCAACTCATTTATTTGACTTATCATTAAACTATCATCTTTACACGTTTGGTGTGTTGACATCACGTTTGGTGTGTTGACGTCACGTTTGGTGTGTTGACGTCACGTTTGGTGTGTTGACGTCACGTTTGGTGTGTTGACGTCACGTTTGGTGTGTTGACGTCACATTTGGTGTGTTGACGTCACGTTTGGTGTGTTGACGTCACGTTTGGTGTGTTGACGTCACGTTTGGTGTGTTGACGTCACGTTTGGTGTGTTGACGTCACGTTTGGTGACACACCCCCCCCCCCCCGTCACGAGACTCGCTTGCTTACAGCTAATTAAAGTTCAGTATTACTGAATTATTATTATCGTATTATTATCGTATTCCGACGTCACCCTGATGGGGGGGGGGGGGGGGTACAGCTCGCTTGTTGACACGTCACTAAGTGCGACCTCTATTGATCTAGCCACTTGCTGACCCGATTGTCCCGTCACGGTCAGTGAACCCGACGACACATAGGTCGTATCAAACACAACTCGTGTAGACAACTCGTGTCCTGCTGTAGACAACTCGTATCCTGCCGTAGACAACTCGTGTAGACAACTCGTGTCCTGCTGTAGACAACTCGTGTCCTGCTGTAGACAACTCGTGTCCTGCTGTAGACAACTCGTGTCCTGCCGTAGACAACTCGTGTCCTGCTGTAGACAACTCGTGTCCTGCTGTAGACAACTCGTGTCCTGCCGTAGACAACTCGTGTCCTGCTGTAGACAACTCGTGTCCTGCTGTAGACAACTCGTGTCCTGCTGTAGACAACTCGTGTCCTGCTGTAGACAACTCGTGTCCTGCTGTAGACAACTCGTGTCCTGCTGTAGACAACTCGTGTCCTGCCGTAGACAACTCGTATCCTGCTGTAGACAACTCGTGTAGACAACTCGTGTCCTGCTGTAGACAACTCGTGTCCTGCTGTAGACAACTCGTGTCCTGCCGTAGACAACTCGTGTCCTGCTGTAGACAACTCGTGTCCTGCCGTAGACAACTCGTGTCCTGCTGTAGACAACTCGTGTCCTGCTGTAGACAACTCGTGTCCTGCTGTAGACAACTCGTGTCCTGCTGTAGACAACTCGTGTAGACAACTCGTGTCCTGCTGTAGACAACTCGTGTAGACAACTCGTGTCCTGCTGTAGACAACTCGTGTAGACAACTCGTGTCCTGCTGTAGACAACTCGTGTAGACAACTCGTGTCCTGCTGTAGACAACTCGTATCCTGCCGTAGACAACTCGTGTCCTGCCGTAGACAACTCGTGTAGACAACTCGTGTCCTGCTGTAGACAACTCGTGTCCTGCTGTAGACAACTCGTGTCCTGCTGTAGACAACTCGTGTCCTGCCGTAGACAACTCGTGTCCTGCCGTAGACAACTCGTGTCCTGCTGTAGACAACTCGTGTAGACAACTCGTGTCCTGCTGTAGACAACTCGTGTCCTGCTGTAGACAACTCGTGTCCTGCTGTAGACAACTCGTGTCCTGCCGTAGACAACTCGTGTAGACAACTCGTGTCCTGCTGTAGACAACTCGTGTAGACAACTCGTGTCCTGCCGTAGACAACTCGTGTCCTGCTGTAGACAACTCGTGTCCTGCTGTAGACAACTCGTGTCCTGCCGTAGACAACTCGTGTAGACAACTCGTGTCCTGCTGTAGACAACTCGTGTAGACAACTCGTGTCCTGCTGTAGACAACTCGTGTCCTGCTGTAGACAACTCGTGTCCTGCCGTAGACAACTCGTGTCCTGCTGTAGACAACTCGTGTCCTGCCGTAGACAACTCGTGTCCTGCTGTAGACAACTCGTGTAGACAACTCGTGTCCTGCTGTAGACAACTCGTGTAGACAACTCGTGTCCTGCTGTAGACAACTCGTGTAGACAACTCGTGTCCTGCTGTAGACAACTCGTGTAGACAACTCGTGTCCTGCTGTAGACAACTCGTGTAGACAACTCGTGTCCTGCTGTAGACAACACGTATCCTGCCGTAGACAACTCGTGTCCTGCCGTAGACAACTCGTGTAGACAACTCGTGTCCTGCTGTAGACAACTCGTGTCCTGCTGTAGACAACTCGTGTCCTGCTGTAGACAACTCGTGTCCTGCCGTAGACAACTCGTGTCCTGCCGTAGACAACTCGTGTCCTGCTGTAGACAACTCGTGTAGACAACTCGTGTCCTGCCGTAGACAACTCGTGTCCTGCTGTAGACAACTCGTGTCCTGCCGTAGACAACTCGTGTAGACAACTCGTGTCCTGCTGTAGACAACTCGTGTAGACAACTCGTGTCCTGCCGTAGACAACTCGTGTCCTGCCGTAGACAACTCGTGTCCTGCCGTAGACAACTCGTGTCCTGCTGTAGACAACTCGTGTCCTGCCGTAGACAACTCGTGTCCTGCCGTAGACAACTCGTGTCCTGCCGTAGACAACTCGTGTCCTGCCGTAGACAACTCGTGTCCTGCCGTAGACAACTCGTGTCCTGCTGTAGACAACTCGTGTCCTGCTGTAGACAACTCGTGTCCTGCTGTAGACAACTCGTGTAGACAACTCGTGTCCTGCTTTAGACAACTCGTGTCCTGCCGTAGACAACTCGTGTCCTGCCGTAGACAACTCGTGTCCTGCTGTAGACAACTCGTGTCCTGCTTGTCTTGCAAACTCTCATCGTGCGAACTGTCTGGGGCATCACTTTCTCATTTTCCCTAATTAACGCAAAACTCAAGAGTAAACCGTAATTACTTCCCCTGAGATTCTATAATTATTTCCCTTGGCATCTATAATTAGACGTCCGTGTATGACGCCTTCTGAAGTTGTTTCCATTATTTTACTGCACAATTTGGTTTGTTATTGAGCGTTGTCTGGCCATGGAACTCTGCCTTTCAATCTTGGCGTGGTACATCTGAACACCTGAACACAACCCGTCACGGTGGTGACCACACATCTGAACACCTGAACACAACCCGTCACGGTGGTGACCACACATCTGAACACAACCAGTCACGGTGGTGACCACATTATTACCACTAATGCTTTATTTTGTGGCCTATATATTAAATTACCGCAGAGTATATTTATACAACCCAGCCATCATATAGCCCACCTGTCTGACAACCCACCCATCATATAACTCACCTGTCTGACAACCCACCCATCATATAGCCCACCTGTTTGACAACCCACCCATCATATAGCCCACCTGTCTGACAACCCAGCCATCATATAACTCACCTGTCTGACAACCCAGCCATCATATAACTCACCTGTCTGACAACCCCGCCATCATATAGCCCACCTGTCTGACAACCTTTCTGTCATGTCTTACCTGCCCAGACAGCCCAAGATGCAGCAGATGTTTTCAATGAAGAGACCAGGTGTAGTAGGTCGCTCACCTGTGTCCAGATACCTGTTCACTGCTCATCAACATGACAACAAAAATGTACCTGAAACTTATCTCCTGCCTCTCTGTGTGGAAAATAATTTTGTTGAATTCTCTTACCTCACCTGTACCAAGTTCAACTTTTTACCTGTTGTTTTTTCCCCAGGTTTACTCACCTGGACCAGAAGATTACCCACAAGATTCCCCCAGGTACAACTCACCTAAACCAGGCTATGGAGTCTATATGGGTAAGTGGTCACTTCAGTGGACATGGGGTCAATTTAACACATCAGGGCATGGGGTCAGTTTAACACATCAGGGCATGGGGTCAGTATAACACATCAGGGCATGGGGTCAGTTAAACACATCAGGGCATGGGGTCAGTTAAACACATCAGGGCATGGGGTCAGTTAAACACATCAGGGCATGGGGTCAGTTAAACACATCAGGGCATGGGGTCAGTTAAACACATCAGGGCATGGGGTCAGTTAAACACATCAGGGCATGGGGTCAGTTTAACACATCAGGGCATGGGGTCAGTTTAACACATCCCTGTTATAATTGGGTCAAGGCTAAAAGTTGGCTAGATTAGTTAACATTTGACCTAAATGTTATAATTGGGTCAAGGATTGACACATTTCTTTATTTGTCCACAGACCATCCACCTGGTTCAGTTGACCCATGGTCAGGAGGTCAAGGTGGCCTCCCTTCCTCCTACCCTTCTTCCCTCCTCCCTGGTTCCTCCGGTCCCTTCCCCCCACAGTCTTCCTACCCACCTAACATGCAGCATCCAGGAGAAATGGTAGGTCATTTGCTTTAGTCATGTCACATGTCATTTCACCATTTGATTCGATCATTTCACACGTCATTTCACCACATGATTTTCTTGTCATATGGCTGTGATGTAAATTATCTCCATTTATCTGGACAAAAATATCTTTTGGTCATCTGTTGTATCCCACACCACACTGGACACTAAGTGACCACTTGTTAGATGGGTGCCTTATATAACTGTTAAAATTCTTGAGCTAGATGATTGAAGAATCTTTTGTTAGACATCTTTTTACAGCTCTGTGTGTGTGGGGGGGAGGGGGGGGGGGGCGCTCACCAGAGGAAGGAGGGGATAAAAACAATGCTTTACAATTTACATTCTCTTTCATTCTGGGGGGAAGAGATTTCTCTCCCTTAACATCCCCTGATAGAAACCAGATGGCTGGCTCAGGGGCTGCAGTTACCTCCCGCCACACACTAGCTCCAAATGCTGGTAGTGCATCAGATCACTGCTACACGGGGAGGTCGCAGGCTGAATCACACTATACCCAGTCATTACTTCCCCTTTCTCTGATCATAAAATCTTCTGCTGAGGTCTGTACAAGTCTGTCTTCTGTCATGTGATTTTCATTTCAAGAAACTTTTTGGCCACAACTTTCTAGGTGGCCACAACTTTCTAGGTGGCCACAACTTTCTAGGTGGCCACAACTTTCTAGGTGGCCACAACTTTATAGGTGGCCACAACTTTCTAGGTGGCCACAACTTTATAGGTGGCCACAACTTTATAGGTGGCCACAACTTTATAGGTGGCCACAACTTTCTAGGCAACTCAATTTTTCTCAACCTCCTGATACTTGGCCTTGAAAAAACTATTTTTAAAATATCAAGGAAATTTGCTAAGCTTAAATTATAACAACAATTTTAAAGGGAGATTACTTTTTATTATCAGCACTATTCTTTCCCTTTAGCTATTTATCCTGTTCATTTTGCTCTTCACCGTTATATTACCTCCCTTTGAGCTATCAGCCTATTACCTCCCCATTCTCCACATTGCCAGATGGCGTGCCCCAATCTGTGTGAGAGTTGTCTGTCTTGTTATGATACCATCTTTCCTCAGACCCTTGTTATCACCATTCATTAAACCAGAGAGGGGAGGCTTCTCTTTTGTTTACAAACAAAGGAAACACTAATTATTGGCGTTAACTAAGGGGCATAACTACTCATTTTCTATTAATTTTTTTTTTCAATTAATTTTTTAAAGCACATGTATGTAAATCCAGGGTTTGAGTTAAGTTTTTCCTAGTCAGTCAAGTGTTTTGGTCACTCACTGTGTTACGGTCACACCCTGTGTAAAAACTGTTCACAGAACTGACCAACCACACCCCCAGTAACCAGTGTTTCTTCCAGACTTTTTTCTCCGGGGGGGGGGGGGGGTAAACTTTCTTCGGGGGGGGGGGGGACACTGTTTAAAGTATATATTTTCTATATAAATTATATAAATTTCATTTCGTTCGGGGGGGGGGGGGGGGGGGGGCTGTAAAAATTTGAAGAGATGCCTGGAAGAAACTCTGCCAGTAACAACTGACCAAACCCCTGGAAAAACTGACCAAACTCCTGGAAAAACTGACCACGGTCCCTTAAACTGACCACGGTCCGTTGAAAAACTGACCACGGTCCCTTGAAAAACTGACTTCACCCCATGTAACAACTGACCACACCCCACCCCCTGTAAAAGTTGACCGCACCCCTTTTTCATCTCCGCAGTATCCAGTCTCTCCTCTCCAAGACCAACACCCGCAGTTGCCCCCCATGTCCTCATTTCGTGGGGGGCAGCCAGTAGGTGGGGTGCCTTCATCGGGAGCCGGCTACACTGGTGCCTCCTCCCCAACTATAAACGGGTCAGACATGATGTCATCGCGCCAACCTGCCATGTCATCTTCTGGTAATGCAGTTGGCAAAGCTCTTGCCTCGGTAAGTTGTCATTTCATGTCATTTAATGTCATTTGATATCTTCGAGATTGTTGTCTGAGTTTACATGTCAGGTCATGTTCTGTTGCAGATTTACTCAACCGAGCAAACCAACAGCAGCTACGGCTCCAACCACTCCACACCTGTCTCCTCCCCCACACCTATCACAGGTAAGTTTGAACCACTCCACACCTGTCTCCACCTCTCTCCCCCCACACACACACCTACTACAAGCACGTTTCAACCACCCCCCATCTGTCTCCTCCCCCACACCTATCACAGGAAAATGTAACCACACCCCACCTGTGTGGTGTCCCTAACCACATTACTCTTGATCTGCCACTAACCCAAAGTTTGATCTAATTAGGCTCATCATCACAAGCTTGGAACCGACCGGTCAGCCAGTCTGGAACCACATATGAGGCTAATCATATCCACCCGATGGTGAGTTGACCTTTAACCTGTGTTGACTCTTGTGTTGACCACAGGACCAGCTGTTTGACTTGAGCCATTTTTCTCTGACCACAGGGCAGAATAGAGGAGCGTCTGGACCTTGATGACGCCATCCATGTCCTGCGCACCCACGCGGAGGGGCAGCCACCTCTACCACCTGGACATCCGGGACTACCTCCCCCAATGCTGCCCACTGGGGCCCACCCACCCCTGGGCTCTCTGGGGCCCTACCCACCTGGGATGATGGGACTCGACTCTTCACTTATAGTTAGTGCTTTTTTACTTCAACCCCCACCAGACAACCACGCCAACCCACACAACACAGCCACACCAATGCCACACCAACCCACACAACACAGCCACGCCAACCCACACAACACAACCACACCAATGCCACACCAACCCACACAACACAGCCACACCAACCCACACAACACAGCCACACCAACCCACACAACACAGCCACACCAACCCACACAACACAGCCACACCAACCCACACAACACAGCCACACCAACCCACACAACACAGCCACACCAACCCACACAACACAGCCACACCAACCCACACAACACAACCACGCCAACCCACACAATGCCACACCAACCCACACAACACAGCCACACCAATGCCACACCAACCCACACAACACAGCCACACCAACCCACACAACACAGCCACACCAACCCACACAACACAGCCTCACCAACCCACACAACACAGCCACACCAATCCACACAACACAACCACACCAATGCCACACCAACCCACACAACACAGCCACACCAACCCACACAACACAGCCACACCAACCCACACAACACAGCCTCACCAACCCACACAACACAGCCACACCAATCCACACAACACAACCACACCAATGCCACACCAACCCACACAACACAGCCACACCAACCCACACAACACAGCCATACCAACCCACACAACACAGCCACACCAACCCACACAACACAGCCACACCAACCCACACAACACAACCACGCCAACCCACACAACACAGCCACACCAACCCACACAACACAGCCACACCAACCCACACAACACAGCCACACCAACCCACACAACACAGCCACACCAACCCACACAACACAACCACACCAACCCACACAACACAGCCACACCAACCCACACAACACAGCCACACCAACCCACACAACACAGCCACACCAACCCACACAACACAGCCACACCAACCCACACAACACAACCCCACCAACCCACACAACACAGCCACACCAACCCACACAACACAGCCACACCAACCCACACAACACAGCCACACCAATCCACACAACACAACCACACCAATGCCACACCAACCCACACAACACAGCCACACCAACCCACACAACACAGCCACACCAACCCACACAACACAACCACGCCAACCCACACAACACAGCCACACCAACCCACACAACACAGCCACACCAACCCACACAACACAGCCATACCAACCCACACAACACAGCCACACCAACCCACACAACACAGCCACACCAACCCACACAACACAGCCACACCAACCCACACAACACAGCCACACCAACCCACACAACACAGCCACACCAACCCACACAACACAACCACACCAACCCACACAACACAGCCACACCAAACCACACAACACAGCCACACCAAACCACACAACACAACCACACCAACCCACACAACACAGCCACACCAAACCACACAACACAGCCACACCAAACCACACAACACAACCACATCATCCAATCCACACACACCCATGCAAAATAATTAGGTTTTTTTTTTCTTCTTCACACATTGCTTGCTGATATTGTTTAACATAAAAAATAATGTATAGATTCTAGAGCAGATTTGAAATGTTGCCTTCTCCTAAACATGAGAAATTGGTACTTTAAAACCTCCCAGTTTTCTCCAAACTGAACTTTAAAACCTCCCAGTTTTCTCCAAACTGAACTTTAAAACCTCCCAGTTTTCTCCAAACTGAACTTTAAAACCTCCCAGTTTTCTTCAAATTGAACTTTAAAACCTCCCAGTTTTCTTCAAACTGAACTTTAAAACCTCCCAGTTTTCTTCAAACTGAACTTTAAAACCTCCCAGTTTTCTTCAAACTGAACTTTAAAACCTCCCAGTTTTCTTCAAACTGAACTTTAAAACCTCCCAGTTTTCTCCAAACTGAACTTTAAAACCTCCCAGTTTTTGAAAGCTTCCTGTCGTATTGGCACGACTGTTGGATAGATTTAAATGGCCGGTGAAGTATTTCACACAGATCTGTTCAACTTATTAGCACAGAGTTTACAAAAAAAAATACTGGAATAAATCTCCTTCTAATTACCTCCCCTTCCCAGGCAAGCATCCCGAGTTGCACAGTTGGACATTTTTTAACACATTACCTCCCCTTACCTCATACCGTCTGTTAGAACAATTTTCGCAGTGTGCTCCCCTTGTAATTTTTTTCTCATCAAGTGCCGCCACCCATGCTAGTGCCGCAGTGACGAACCATTTTTTTCATATTTAGTTGGTATTTGTTTTCAATATCCTTAAGTTATTTAAAACACGTTTTTACCGCAATTTTTTTAAAAGTCTGCCTACAATTTCTGGTTCCTTGTTTAGATTATCTGGGTCTTGATGAGATACACGGCTGTCTTCTGGCTTGGTTTTGCTGTCAGTTTCCGTTAGATCAGTGTAGATACAGGCTTGGCCGCTGCAAGTTGGCCGCTCTAAGTTGGCCGCCTGTGAGTTGGCCTCACAGAGTCGGCCACTTATATAGATCGCCCGTGGTTTCATTAGGGACATGGACCAAACTAATGCCGACATCATTAACATCCCCACCCACCTCACAGAACAAGATGGCCACCCCTCATCCCCCCCCCCCCACTTAAACTGTTTCTTGATCACCAACTTGAGATGAGCACCCCCCCCTTGTGCTCAGCAACACCCCCTCCCCCTGTGCTAACCCCCCTCCCCTTCCTTTGCTGAGCAACACCCCCCTCCCCCCTGTGCTAACCTCCCCCTCCCCCCTGTGCTAACCTCCCCCTTCCCCCTGTGCTAACCTCCCCCTCTCCCCTCCCCCCTGTGCTAACCTCCCCCTCCCCCCTCCCCCTATGCCACCCCTCCCCCCCTGTGCTAACCTCCCCTACCCCCGTGTGCTCCCCCTCCCCTGTGCTACCCCCTCACCCCTGTGCTCACCTCCCCCTCCCCTCTGTGCTAACCTCCCCCTTCCCCCTGTGCTAACCTCCCCCTCTCCCCTCCCCCCTGTGCTAACCTCCCCCCTCCCCCCTCCCCCTATGCCACCCCTCCCCCCTGTGCTAACCTCCCCTACCCCCGTGTGCTCCCCCTCCCCTGTGCTACCCCCCTCACCCCCTGTGCTAACCTCCCCTACCCCCCGTGCTCCCCCTTCCCCGTGCTCCCCCTCCCCCTGTGCTCCCCTCCCCCTTCCCCCCTGTGCTAACCTCCCCCCTCCCCCCTGTGCTACCCCCCCCCTCCCCCTGTGCTAACCTCCCCATCCCCCTGTGCTCCCCCCTCCCCCCCCCCGTGCTCCCCCTCCCCCTATGCTACCCCTCCCCCCCCCCCGTGCTCCCCCTCCCCCTGTGCTCCCCCCTCCCCCTGTGCTCCCCCCCTCCCTGTGCTCCCCCCTCCCCCTATGCTACCCCCCCGTGCTCCCCCCTCCCCCTATGCTCCCCCCCCCCCTACCATAAGACCACTGTTCTTGTGCTGGCTCACGTCTTCCTGCCCCCGCACGTGTTTTTCATGTTCGCTGTAGGTCAGAGGTCACACTCAACCAAGCACATCTGGCGTTTCTCCCTATAAATGGCCATCCCGACCTTTCGAGTTGGCCACGAGATTACTTCGGCAGTTGGCCTAGTGAATCAATTGGCCATGACAGATTATGTTGGCCAATAGAATTAGTTTGGCCGCTTGTTAAACGTAGTCGAATTGGCCATATTTCTTAGAAAATTACGTTGGCCAATTTGTCCTGTGGAGTCACACTGGTCAGTTGGCCCAACTATTTTCACGATGGTCAGGTGGCCCAACTATTTTCACGCTGGTCAGGTGGCCCAACTATTTTCACGCTGGTCAGGTGGCCCAACTATTTTCACACTGGCCAGGTGGCCCAACTATTTTCACGCTGGTCAGGTGACCCAACTATTTTCACGATGGTCAGGTGACCCAACTATTTTCACGCTGGTCAGGTGGCCCAACTATTTTCACGCTGGTCAGGTGACCCAACTATTTTTACACTGGCCAGGTGGCCCAACTATTTTCACGATGGTCAGGTGACCCAACTATTTTCACGCTGATCAGGTGGCCCAACTATTTTCACGCTGATACTTACAGTAACCAATGGTCTTGAGGGTTTTACTCCATAAACACCTCCCTCACCTCTCACACACCTCCCCCACCTCTCGCGCACCTTCCCACCTCTCGTTCATTTTGCTTAGCTTATAGGTCATATTGAACATGGCACATGTGCGAGTGATTTCCCCTTCTTTTGTCGCTGTTTGTTTTTTGTTAACATCCTTCCCCTACTCCTCCCACCTTCCCCTACTCCCCCCACCTTCCCCTACTCCTCCCATTCATTTACTACCCCCACCCCCACCTACCTCTTCAACACCTGATATTTTCTGTACGCTTCTCCCCCCCCCCCCCCCCCTTCCCCACACCTTTATTTTTTCCTACTATTCTCAGTAAACCATGTACTAGTTCTAGGCTATTCATTTGACTAATTCTTGCGCTATTTGTCTATAGAGGCAAGTCGTTCTTAGACATTTTAAAATAAATCTTAGACTTTCAAAATATATTTTTTTTAAATTCGTTAAGTTTGGTTAAAATCGTACGTCATTTCTCATTAATCTATTAATTTGACCTAGTTACAAAAATGTTTGACCTTTCATTAAATTTCCAAGCTGTCCATCCATATTGTTCCTTCCTGCAAAACGCGTGGTCCGCGCGCGCTAGGTTGTGGTTCTTGATTTTCACACCAAGATGTTTTGATTCCAACAACATGTGCTCGACAGATTTAGGAATGCTCTCCCCTTGCAGTGGTTTGTTTCTTTAACTTTTTTTTCTCTTGCTTGGTTGGTTTTTTGTTTTTAAAATTAGCTGGGACGGCTAAATCTTCCCAGTGTGAAACAGTTAAATTAATCCTGTAAAATATCCAGGGTTACACGGCTAAATCTTCCCAGTGTGAAACAGTTAAATTAATCCTGTAAAATATCCAGCGTTACGCGGCGTATTTTGGCTAAGTGATGTGGGCTGGTTACAGCGTTGTTCGCGATCTCTTCATTTTTTTTTACTAAATTAGAAGACAACCCGCTAACAGCGCTTATATTGTCATTAGACATTATGTTAAGGGCTTTGTATTTTTGTAAGGTGATTGTAATTTTAGGACTGGCTATGGATGTCTATCAACGCGACATTTAGATTTAACTTAAAACCTAAACGTAATTTGCTTCCATTGATTCGTTTATAATGGAATGGTTACATAGTGATTATGTCCCTTTACCACTCCGCTTTCTCACCCACCCCCAGGCTATTCTGATCTGGTTGCCAAGTCCGTCCACGCCTTACACAATGATCAAACCCATCTAAACCCCGGACCTTAACCTAACCTTAATTGTATCTTTGTTGACAATATCAGCTCAACGAATGTGCCAATCGCTAGAAGGTTTGAACCCATTTTAAAATAACATTGATGGCTGGAATACAAGCTAGTCTGTGAAGAAGAAATATTAAAAAGCCAGGTTGTATGATAAGGTAATAAGTCGTGGAGTTTCACACCTTTTCCACGGTCTCGTCTGCTCTCTGTAGCCCCGCCTCTGCGTCTTGTTCTCATCTCCCCTGCCCCCCCCCCCCCCCCTCCCCGCGCGCCTAACGTAAAACAGATGTTGGGGAAATTTCTCACAGCTGCACGCTGCCGACCGCGGCAAGATTGATTCCACGTGAACTAATAATTTATCGGCAGAGCAGGTAACATCACGCCATTGGCTACTCCCAGCCGAACCCTAATCCACCAGAACCCAACCCTAACCCTCGCAATCTGTTGTCTTAAACAACGGGCTCACTCAGCTATCTATCCTCTATCCTAAATTACAAAAAGTTAATTTAATTAATTAAAGACTTAATTGTCGACGGAATTTTCGTATTCTGTATGAAAATGTTGGACGGTTGTCCCGCCATAAAATGTACAATTATTTACGTAAATATCGTGAGGCACACAAGTCGTTTTTCTTACCAGCGATATTTCTACTCAATTCGGCGTTGGAAAGGGGAGGGGGGGATACATTGTTACTATAAATAGCTTCATATAAAATATGATTAGGCTTCCATCTTTAAAAAATTAAAATCAAGATTCTACTTCCTGTTACTGTCAGTGAATTATTTTAAACATGGAGGCTTGAAGACCAGATCTCGATTGAGTCCTCACAGTGATGTTTTAGGCTTAAGGTAAAATGAAATGATGGTTCGGAAAGTATTCTAGATTTCACAGAGGGAAGAATTCGGGAGGTGTAAGTGGGGTGGGAGGTGTTACTGGGGGGGGGGGTTCTTGGCGCACAAGCCGTATTGATCGTACCCAATCTGGCTGCCACATGGAGAAAAAAACGGTAGGTGATGGGAGAGGAAGGAGGTGAGCGGGCAGAAAGTCATCGACGCAGTGGAAAGGTTCTATCAGTCAGATGAAGTCGGCAGATCTGTCTAGCTCCACGTAATGCTGCTGCCAGTTAGGATTGTGTAACCAATATACCGCCTACTCGGATTGTCTAATGAATTGACCGCCAATCAGGATTATGTGTACTCAACTGTACTTTAACCGCTGTTTTACGGATGACTGCTTAGAATGAATGTAGACTAGATTCTAGTCTAGATCCAGCGTTTATTTTTTTAGTGATCTAGAATCTACCTTTGATCTGGCTAGTATTTTTTTTTTAAGGATTAGACTTAAGACTTAGATCTAGAGATTATTTGTGACAGCTAAAAAAAACGTTTTGGTGCTAGATCTAGATTTCTAAATCTAGATCTACTGCTTTTAAAAAAAAGGAATGTGTGTATATTTCTAAAAAAAAAAAAAAAAAGTTCGCCAACTTGCTTGTGGTGGCAGGGAATTTCTGCTGGGAGTATGTAAGATTGCTAACTGTGGATATAATGTATTCTTTTTGGATTATTTCTGTTGGATTAAACCATTACCATGGATAAGTGTTTATTCTAAATGGATAAAAAGAAAAAGACTGTTTTTTGTCCTGTATCTTCTGGATAAGTTGGATTACTTGGCTGTGGATATTACTTAACATCAGTAATGTACCCCAGTCATTCACAGTACCCATGGGTGGCTCCCCCACCAGCCCCCCCACCAAACATGCCAGCTCCAAATGAAAACTGGGGGTGGGACACACAGTCTTACCACCACCCACACCAGCATCAAGGGCTACCTTGGAAGCAAACTCCCCCACCCCCATCCAGCCCTCAAGTTTACCCCACACCCCCATCTTGTCAGTATGAGAGGAGACGACTGCCTTACTATGATTGTTCACAGTATTACTGGGTGGGTTACTCTGATGGTTCATTCCTTGCTCCAGATTTTCTAATTTAAAATCAATGAACAGTTGTAATTTTGCATCTTAATCTGCTTGTGCATGTTTAGTGTACAATTACATTGTTTCTTTAATTGTAATGTTGGAAGGGATTTCCTTCAACAGTTATAACATGTCAACTGTTATGCATAGGCCGTTAACTCAGATTTCAGACTACTTTTCTTTTTGGATTTGCTTCCATAGCCTTTGTCCAACCAAGAAAAACTACAAGGCAGCAGTTGTGTGATTATAGTTTTCTCTCCTAGATGGGCTGCTGTCCTAGGCTATTGAGCCTGATCTGCCTGGGGGTTGAAACGTTTTGGTTTAGCAACCATAATCTACTGACCCGATGGCTGCGTTGTTTCAAATATTCTCACTTCCCTTTACAATCCACCTCTATCCCTTATTGTAACCAAACCTTTTCAAAGGTGGCAGTAACTAGTTTTTTTTTAATGAGATCAGTGTATAATAAGGTTGAAGTTAAATATCATCAATAGCTTAGGAAAATCTTTTTTTTTTGTTATATTAATGCCATTTTTGTTGTATTTAGAAAATAATTTTGTCACAGGCTTCTTGTGTGACTGGGTTCACGATATAAACTTGTCACAGGCCTTTCTCCTACCTTTTATATTACTCATACAAAATCAAAAGACAAGCCTTCTTTTGCAGTTTTTCATATTTATTTTGTCTTCACACAGGCAGCGTGTTCATCCAAGCTACGCCATCTTCTTGCCTCCTTTCTCTCTTGTTCCTTTCGCGCATGCGCACAGCCACTGTCTCCCTGATGCAATCTCACACACACTCCCAAGATACAATCCACCAATATTTCACTGTTATAAATTTCTTATAGGTCAGTCAATTTATAATATACAACACTTTTGTAATAAATATACTTTTGAGCTCAAAGATTATTGCTGTAAATTTACATTAAGTTCTATTCTAGTCAAATATTTAGTTGATATTCAAGCCAAAATATCTTTAAGATAATTTATTCCCGACACAGATCCTGATACCATGGTTAAATGCCCTAAAAATATCACAAACACACCCTCAGTGACATAAACCTATACCTAGGTACCACACACACACACACACAGACCAACCTATGTCTGGGTACCACACTCACACACACACACACAGACCAATCTATGCCTGGGTACCACACACACACACACACACAGACCAACCTATGCCTGGGTACCACACACACACACACAGACCAACCTATGTCTGGGTACCACACACACACACACACACACAGACCAACCTACGCCTGGGTACCACACACACACACACACAGACCAACCTATGTCTGGGTACCACACACACACACACACACAGACCAACCTATGTCTGGGTACCACACACACACACACACAGACCAACCTACGCCTGTGTACCACACACACACACACACACAGACCAACCTATGTCTGGGTACCACACACACAGACCAACCTATGCCTGTGTACCACACACACACACACACAGACCAACCTATGCGGGGGTAAACACCATGAGTTTTCTGTAACAGGTGCAAATTTAAGTGACATCACTTCATCATATTTTTCTTTCAATGGCATATTACCAAAATTTCTGTCTGTGGAGTTCATATGGAAACTTCTTCTGTTGATTCTTCTGTTGATTCCATTAAAAATATCTTGTCATTGGCTGCAGTATGTTTGCTTTAGTAATGACATGATCAGTACTTAGATAGACCAGACATTTGCTCACTTGGCTTTTTTTTTCTTTCTCTGTCTATTTGTTGACACATCAAAGTTTAAACTTTTCCATGTTTTCACTGTTTAGAACCACTATTGTTATTACTATTGTGTATAAAAATAGTTTTGGTTGTGCTTACATGTTTGCACTATTGTGTATAAAAATAGTTTTGGTTGTGCTTACATGTTTGCACTATTGTGTATAAAAATAGTTTTGGTTGTGTTTACATGTTTGCACTATTGTGTATAAAAATAGTTTTGGTTGTGCTTACATGTTTGCACTATTGTGTATAAAAATAGTTTTGGTTGTGCTTACATGTTTGCACTATTGTGTATAAAAATAGTTTTGGTTGTGCTTACATGTTTGCACTATTGTGTATAAAAATAGTTTTGGTTGTGCTTACATGTTTGCACTATCGTGTATAAAAATAGTTTTGGTTATGCTTACATGGTTGCACTATTGTGTATAAAAATAGTTTTGGTTGTGCTTACATGTTTGCACTATTGTGTATAAAAATAGTTTTGGTTGTGCTTACATGTTTGCACTATTGTGTATAAAAATAGTTTTGGTTGTGCTTACATGTTTGCTTGGCGTTTTATTTCCTATTCCATCCTCCTATGTGACGTCTATGCATGCTAAAAGGTTTTCTTTGATTTACAGGGTCATCATGGCATCCCCAATGACAGAGTTCCACCATCTTCCAGCCTTCCTTCAGTATCTTCAGACCAGCATAAATCATATGACACAGGTACTGTACTATGTTGGATCACAGATTTAGTACTGACATTCAGACCAACATAAATCATATGACACAGTTACTGTACTATGTTAGATCACAGATTTAGTAGTGACATTCAGACCAGCATAAATCATGAGATACAGTTACTGTACTATGTTAGATCACAGATTTAGTACTGACAGAAATTTCACTCAGAGTCCAAGCTCTGTAGATAGCATCATAAAATTTTCTTAAATGAACTAAATGCCTTAAAGATTGTTTTCCCAGAACTTAACCTCTATGATTTTGTTGTTAGTTGACCTATATGATTTTGTTGTTAGGTGACCTATATGATTTTGTTGTTAGTTAACCTCTATGATTTTGTTGTTAGTTGACCTATATGATTTTGTTGTTAGTTGACATTTGATTTAAAAATCTGGCCAGCTGCTCATGTGATTCCTGTTGCGAGAAATTTTAAGTTTAAAATTTGTTTAGGAGATGATCCAGACGCCTCGTCTGATGGACCAATCAAATTAGAGAAATCAGAAAAAGATGGAGAGAAGGCAGACAAATCAGGGGGAGACAAGTCATCTAAAGGAGGATCACAGAGTGGGGAGCCACCATCCAAAAGAGCCAGGTAGGGCATACACACACACAATGTTGGGGGCAAACACACACACTATGTTGGGGGCAAACACAATGTTGGGGGATATACATGCAATGTTGTGGGCAAACACACACACACACAATGTTGGGGGCAAACACACACACACACTATGTTGGGGGCAAACACACACACACACACAATGTTGGGGGCAAACACACACACACACACACAATGTTGTGGGCAAACACACACACACACACACAATGTTGTGGGCAAACACACACACACACACAATGTTGTGGGCAAACACACACACACACACAATGTTGTGGGCAAACACACACACACAATGTTGTGGGCAAACACGCACACTGTTGGGGGCAAACACACACACACACACACAATGTTGGGGGATATACATGCAATGTTGTGGGCAAACACACACACAATGTTGTGGGCAAACACACACACTATGTTGGGGGCAAACAAAATGTTGGGGGATATACATGCAATGTTGTGGGCAAACACACACACAATGTTGTGGGCAAACACGCACACAATGTTGTGGGCAAACACGCACACTGTTGGGGGCAAACACACACACACACACAATGTTGGGGGATATACATGCAATGTTGTGGGCAAACACACACACAATGTTGTGGGCAAACACGCACACTGTTGGGGGCAAACACACACACACACACAATGTTGGGGGATATACATGCAATGTTGTGGGCAAACACACACACAATGTTGTGGGCAAACACACACACTATGTTGGGGGCAAACAAAATGTTGGGGGATATACATGCAATGTTGTGGGCAAACACACACACAATGTTGTGGGCAAACACACACACAATGTTGGGGGACAACACACACACAATGTTGGGGGCAAACACACACACAATGTTGGGGGCAAACACACACACAATGTTGGGGGCAAACACACACACAATGTTGGGGGCAAACACACACACAATGTTGGGGGCAAACACACACACAATGTTGGGGGCAAACACACACACTATGTTGGGGGCAAACACACACACTATGTTGGGGGCAAACACACACACAATGTTGGGGGCAAACACACACACTATGTTGGGGGCAAACACACACACAATGTTGGGGGATATACATGCAATGTTGGGGGCAAACACACACACACACTATGTTGGGGGCAAACACACACACACACACTATGTTGGGGGCAAACACACACACAATGTTGGGGGCAAACACACACACACTATGTTGGGGGCAAACACACACACTATGTTGGGGGCAAACACACACACAATGTTGGGGGCAAACACAATGTTGGTAGCACAAACTCTGGCAGATGAGGCTCTATGACTATGGCTGGGACAACCCTAAATTCAACCAATTGCTGTGTTGTCATTTGTTCATGGGGAACAAAGGCTATGGAAGCAAATTCAAAAGTAAACCAGGCTGAAACAGTAGTCAACAGGTGGTTGACCAAATTGTGTTGATTGATGAAGGAAATACTGGCTAATGTTACAACTAATAACGAAGGGGGAGATTTTTAAAAAAACCATACGCATATATTTGGGGCACACACAATTGTTTAGATACATAAAGTGTGATCAGAAGGCAGATCAAAAATAAACTTATTTCAATGAAACAATCACTAGGTCACAGGTGAGCAAGGAAATAATTGTATACGGTGAACAAGTGTAAATAGAAAGAATTTATCTGAGTATTTTGTTCACAGAACACACGGCAAGGCAAGCAGCAATCATGAAGATGGGTAAGCACAATTTTCTCAAGTGATAAGCTTTAAGTCTTCTTATCAAACAACTTATTTTCTGGGAAGCGCCCATTTTTTAAGGGTAGTCTTATTTTCTGGGAAGCGCCCATTTTTTAAGGGTAGTCTTATTTTCTGTGAAGCACCCATTTTTTAATGGTAGTAAACTGATCTAAATCTAAGGACCTTAACAGAGTTTACTTGCAGAAAAATAGTACGGTACCATATGAGTAGATACAAAGTGTGTCATACAGATTAGAACAGTCTGGTTTGGTGGTCCGTGTGGGATCAGTTAAAATTAGTGGTCCTGTGAAAATAGGGGTCTTGAGAATTTGAAACAAATGTTCTATCAAGCTACGGTTAGAGCAGAAATTAGATTTAGTCTGGTTTAGTGGTCCTGTAAAAATAGGGGGCTTGAGAATTTGAAACAAGTGTTCTATCAAGCTACGGTTAGAGCAGAAATTAGATTTAGTCTGAGCTTAAGCTGATGTGCAGAATTCAACTGTCCCGTAATGACCCTCAATGTCCCTGATCGTTTCAGGTATGACAATAGTATCGACAGGTCGAGTCTTAAATCAGCAGCTAATAAAAACGCAAAGTGAGTATTGTGTTATCACATACTAATAGTGAACTTTGACCCCAGACTCACAGTAATTGGACCAGAGGTTTACTCTCAGTTCAGTTGACTTTTAATGCTACCAGAAAATAAGAATCTTCTTCTTCAACATCAGATCGGAATTTGGTTTTTTTTAAAATGTTTACCTTGTGACTGGATATGCTCTGGTTATCTTGTCTTGTCTCACTCTGGTTGTCTTGTCTCTCTCTGGTTGTCTTGTCTCTCTCTGGTTGTCTTGTCTCACTCTGGTTGTCTTGTCTTGTCTCACTCTGGTTGTCTTGTCTCACTCTGGTTGTCTTGTCTCACTCTGGTTGTCTTGTCTCACTCTGGTTGTCTTGTCTTGTCTCACTCTGGTTGTCTTGTCTCTCTCTGGTTGTCTTGTCTCACTCTGGTTGTCTTGTCTCTCTCTGGTTGTCTTGTCTCACTCTGGTTGTCTTGTCTCTCTCTGGTTGTCTTGTCTCTCTCTGGTTGTCTTGTCTCACTCTGGTTGTCTTGTCTCTCTCTGGTTGTCTTGTCTCTCTCTGGTTGTCTTGTCTCTCTCTGGTTGTCTTGTCTCTCTCTGGTTGTCTTGTCTCACTCTGGTTGTCTTGTCTCACTCTGGTTGTCTTGTCTCTCTCTGGTTGTCTTGTCTCACTCTGGTTGTCTTGTCTCACTCTGGTTGTCTTGTCTTGTCTCACTCTAGTTGTCTTGTCTCACTCTGGTTGCCTTGTCTCACTCTAGTTGTCTTGTCTCACTCTGGTTGCCTTGTCTCACTCTAGTTGTCTTGTCTCACTCTGGTTGTCTTGTCTCACTCTGGTTGCCTTGTCTCACTCTAGTTGTCTTGTCTCACTCTGGTTGTCTTGTCTCACTCTGGTTGTCTTGTCTCACTCTGGTTGTCTTGTCTCACTCTAGTTGTCTTGTCTCACTCTGGTTGTCTTGTCTCACTCTGGTTGCCTTGTCTCACTGCTGTAGTGTGACACTCCAAGATGGCGTGGGTGTCCATCTGGAGTGGTTCTCACACTGTTGGGTTCCCACTGTTTGTTGACCATGATATAACTTTGTCTAGAAACAAGCAGGAAGATGAATCAAACCTAACACCAGCAGACAAGGCAGAACGGGAGAGGCTGCGTCGTCAGGCTAATAATAATAGAGAAAGGTGATTTTTGTTTGATTCAGGTGATGGCCACCAACTTGGTGTTTGCTGATACAGTGTAGGGGACATAAGCAAACACCCAGTTGCTGCCCTTAACAGAAGTTCTTTGACTTTAAATCTTACTCATTCTTTTTTCCTTTTTCCCCTTTGTCTCTCTTTCCCCCTGGTCCCTGTCCCCTCCCTGTAATTGTTGGGACGTCCCTCCCCATTGGTCTGATGATCACCCTTGGTGGGGACACAGAAATAGTGAGGAGGAGGATTTGTCACCCGCTGCTAAGGCAGAGAGAGAGAGGTTACGACGACAGGCGAATAACGCCAGGGAAAGGTGAGAGCCTTTTTGGTTCTTACTCTAGACTTAGTAAAGCCAAAGTAATCTTACTCTAGACTTAGTAAAGCCAAAGTAATCTTACTCTAGACTTAGTAAAGCCAAAGTAATCTTACTCTAGACTTAGTAAAGCCAAAGTAATCTTACTCTAGACTTAGTAAAGCCAAAGTAATCTTACTCTAGACTTAGTAAAGCCAAAGTAATCTTACTCTAGACTTAGTAAAGCCAAAGTAATTTTACTCTAGACTTAGCCAAATCTAAACTTATAAAAACGAATTCTGTTTAATTTTTTACTTGGCTTGGGCATGCAATAAAATTTATTTGCTTGTTACTGTTTGCATGGTAAGACCTCCCCTGCCTAGCCTTCCTGTCAGTAGACCACAACTTGTACCACAACTTGTCATGGTGTACCACAACTTGTCATGGTGTACCACAACTTGTCATGGTGTACCACAACTTGTCAAGTTTCAGGCAGTCATGATTTGCCAAAATAACTAGAGATGAGTTGTAACCACACAGGCACTCAGTCAGAGCTGTACAATTGAAATAGTTCAAGAATGGCTACTATAGTTAACATCCATAATGAATAGTACAATTAGCTTAAGGGTCAGTAAAATTCATTTAATATACAAAAAAAATCTTATGATAAATAGTGGTACATCATTGGATTTAAGTTGTTTTTTTTTGTACAAGGCCAAATCTGATTTACAAAGGACCTCAGCAGACATACCATGGGTCAGATCTGGACATTCCTAGTTGTGTTCGTAACATCAATTCTAAAATGTCTACCAGAAATGGGTGCCAGATATCATTGGGGAACAATTTCAGCAACAGTCCAACAAATTTAATTTTAAACTATTTTTTGCTTCACCACTTTTAAATTGTCCTCTGATAATTATTGAAATGAATGTTGTTAGTTACACTGTGGAGAAATATTAGAATGTACCGAGTTGTTGGTTGTAGATTTGTTAGTGGTAGGACATTGTCCCGGAGCACATGGTTTCTCCATCTTTTCACCCTTCTCTCTGTATTTCTCTCCACTATTTAAAGCCATGTTAAAATATTTCTATTAATGCTAACTGAAAATGATGAGTAGATTGTACCAACCATAGTTTGTTCATTTCAGAGTTCGAGTCAGAGATATAAACGAAGCATTTAAAGAACTGGGTCAGATGGTGACCTTACACTGCAACTCTAGCCAGCCACTGACCAAACTGATGGTGTTACAGCAGGCCGTCAATGTTATCACTTCACTAGAGTCTCAAGTTAGAGGTGAAAAGTTGCATCAACTTGTCTAGATAATTTTATTTATTCTGCCCACTTTAATCTAAATAATTTAATTATTCCCAATTGTAAATTGTATCCCACTTGTATGTCACAGAGAGAAATTTAAACCCTAAAGCTGCGTGTCTGAAAAGAAGGGAAGAAGAAAAAACAGAAGAATTGCCAGGGAGGACATTGTCATCTGAAGATTTGGCTTCAGGGTTAGCTAACAAGGTACCCTCTTGCTTTTCATTTTTCACCTTTCTGTTGTTGCAAATAAAAATGTTTTCTTATACAATAATAGCTAATGAAAACGAGTGATTGATGGCCTAATTAATTTCTCTCCCCAGTGTCCACCTGAACCAGGTAAAGGCTCGTGGCATTCTTGGTAGCTGGTCAAACCTCTCACTTGGGCCTTTGTTGGTAGCTGGTCAAACCTCTCACTTGGGCCTTTGTTGGTAGCTGGTCAAACCTCTCACTTGGGCCTTTGTTGGTAGCTGGTCAAACCTCTCACTTGGGCCTTTGTTGGTAGCTGGTCAAACACTTGGGCCTTTGTTGCCATAGGGACCCAGAAGATCTGTTCACCCTCCCACCATTTGACTCAGTCGACCAACCGGATCAGATGAAGGCCTGCATGCTCCATTGGACTAGCTGAATTGTTAACATTTTCTCATTAGAGATCATTAGTCTAATCAGATGTTTTATTTTCAAGAAATGAGATAATTGTTTTGTTTTTTAAGAAATGAGATAATTGTTTTGTTTTTTTTCTGAGCCTAAAAAAAATGTGAATCTGGCAATGTTTCTGCTTCTGAACAGAAATGTGTTGAGGTAATTTCCCAATGTCTATTTTTTGGGCAGTTTTCCATGTAGTAAGATCCAAGGCCAATCTGATTTCTCTAATCCCTGTCTGGTGGAGCTGTGGCAGCTTCATCTTACAAGTCTCTTGTATTTTCACAAGTTTGGTCATGTCATCCCATAGTAGACTCCCTAGGCTGGTGACAGTGTTCTTAGGTTGGAGCTTGCATTTATAACAGCTGCTCCACTAGCAAATCTGTCTGGCTCTTAACAACTGCTGGTTTTAAGCATTAGTGGTCTTCTCCTGACTAAAGATGGAGGCTTTTTGTTGATGGGGGTTTTTAACTGCTGACATTGTTGTCAACTTTTATTATATGAAATTAATCTGTTTGAAATTGTGTTCATTTTCTTCTTAAAAGATCTGATTTTTGTTAGTCTACACTAGATCTACCATAAGCTGCTGCCTGTCTGATCAGCTGGTTAGTCCATCCTTTTGATTTTAAACAAATGTGAAACCAACTCTGTTTAGATTCTCTAGTTGCAGGTAGTGTTGAAAGATTTGAAGCCAACTCTGTTTAGATTCTCTAGTTGCTGGTAGTGTTGAAAGATTTGAAGCCTTGTGTCAAGGTTGTGTTGTACAGACCTCATTTATTTATAGCCACTAAATGAATGTCCACTCATGATTGTTTCAAGATCACATTTTCTTTATTGTCTTTTTGTGATTGGTTACTGCTGGCTGAGCTTCCACTACTGTAAATTAACTACCACTTGGCCCTAGACTTATTTTCCTTTATAAATTTGTCAACTCTGAAAAAAGAATATGTTCAATCTTATCTCAGATTCTTGTTACTGAGGAGAGCAGATGATTGTATGAGCTTGTCCTTATTCATGTGATTGATTGATAAGTCTTCTTTACAGACTTGTCCTGTGTCTGTCTGTGACTCCAAGAGTGTCTGTGTGTCTGTCTGTGACCTCTTAGAATGTCTGTTGATAACCCTTGACCTCTGGTATACAATGCATGCATTGAAACTGATTTGTTTGACTGTAGTTTGTTTGTGTAGCTGGTGTATTTTGTTCCATGCATTTCTTGATGATTCTTGTTTGGCTTGTTGTGGTCTTGACATAATATAACAGTGCCTAACTAGTGGCCAGTCACTGCTATGTTCTATGAGACCAGCACACACACCCCACCCCACCCCTCCAAATACTGCCTTCATTCAACCAAATATTGCAGTGATATCATTTAAATAGTTTCTCCACGTTGATCACGAAATCTCCTCACTATACTGTCTGCTGTACACAACCATACATGTCTAGCTACTGTACACAGCCATACATGTCTAGCTACTGTACACAGCCATACATGTCTAGCTACTGTACACAGCCATACATGTCTAGCTACTGTACACAGCCATACATGTCTAGCTAATGTACACAGCCATACATGTCTAGCTAATGTACACAGCCATACATGTCTAGCTACTGTACACAGCCATACATGTCTAGCTAATGTACACAGCCATACATGTCTAGCTACTGTACACAGCCATACATGTCTAGCTACTGTACACAGCCATACATGTCTAGCTACTGTACACAGCCATACATGTCTAGCTAATGTACACAGCCATACATGTCTAGCTACTGTACACAGCCATACATGTCTAGCTACTGTACACAGCCATACATGTCTAGCTACTGTACACAGCCGTACATGTCTAGCTACTGTACACAGCCATACATGTCTAGCTATTGTACACAGCTATGTATAGATGGCTGTATTCCTGTGTCTGGTCCTATTGAGCATATCAGTGTGGCAGCTAATTTTTGTACATAATGAAAATATGCCATTTTTTTTCTCTTAAAATTGTTCATCTATATCTTAAATTGTTCAACTGTATGTAGATGTCATTATTTTTAAACTGTTCATACACATTGTATTTCATACACAATTTGTCTCTAGAGAATTATTTTGTTCCCTATTGCCCTTGTTGTTTTAGACTTTAGTCTGCTAGACTTTGGCCACAAAACCAAAAGTATATCTGTACAGGCAAGCTGTAATATAGATAGTGTTATGTAAATGACAGGTTGTGAGTTGCCAGTTTGGCTAGTCAAAATTGACAGGAATTCTGTTGATAATTTAGTTTGAGCCAGTGTCCCTCACCCAGGCTAAAATAATCCTATGTGCCATTTATGGTGAACACATTTTTAAAATAAAATGACATTGTTTTATCAGCAAATGATAAGTTTTACAGTATATTTGAGTGAATATCAATGTAATGTGTGGAAGAATTTTAATTACAAATTATGAATTAAATTTTTAAAGATTGTTACTCTCTTTAGGAAGAGAAGCTAGAAGTAATCAAGTTGAAATATGTCATGTGCATATGGATGAATCTAAATAAACTATAAGTATGATTTATTTCTGTTTGTTTCTTTCATAATTTGTTTTGTAGTTCTGTGGACTGTCCAGTCTGTTGATGATAAATGTAGCTGGACTCCACGGATTATGGTAGTAGTCTATGGATTAGGGTTGTCATGGATTATGGTAGTCTATGGATTAGGGTTGTCATGGATTATGGTAGTAGTCTATGGATTAGGGTTGTCATGGATTATGGTAGTAGTCTATGGATTAGGGTTATCATGGATTATGGTAGTAGTCTGGATTAGGGTTGTCATAGATTATGGTAGTAGTCTATGGATTAGGGATGTCATGGATTATGGTAGTAGTCTATGGATTAGGGTTGTCATGGATTATGGTAGTAGTCTATGGATTAGGGTTGTCATGGATTATGGTAGTAGTCTATGGATTAGGGTTGTTGTGTGTGGCCTGGGATTGTAGTGAGACAAACCACAAGCAGGAAATGTTCAACTGATGCAACAATTAGTAACAGGTTTCAATATTTCCTTTACCAAGTTCAAGTTAATGTACGCAATAGTCCCTGAAGTGTCTACACGAAACTTTAAATTTATCTCCTTCAAGTCTCACAGTGCCCCACAGAAGGGCGGGAATAATCTCTAGATACCATTTGAATATTTTAAAAACATAATGCCATTTTACTACGTTACTAAAGATTGCATATTTTATTAATTTTGGTTACTAAATTATTTGATTTTTTTTTCCATAAAACTAGCTTTTATTAAGTTTTAAGTAATAATGCACTTAAAAGTAGAAAATAAGTTATTAACTTTAAAATGAAATAATACACTACTATTTAAATAACTATAAAGAAAAGCGTGGGTTTCTTCCTAAATATTAGTAAAGGTGTCCAATAGATAAAAGTGACCCGCTTATTAAAACGTTCTTTTTAATGAATTTTTTTTACATTTTTACTTTCTCGTATATACGACGTATAGAGAAAGTCTTGTAATCGTGCAAAAAAAATCGAGATTTTTACAAATCTCGACGTTTTACACCTCACTGATATGGAAAAACATAATTTTGCAATCTTGTCTGTGTAAACACGATAACTTGAGTACCGTTACAGCTAGGTTGATGAAATTTCATATATAAGTATTTTATCAAAATCGTAGATCCGTATCAACTTTTGAGCGATTTCCGATAACCGGAAGTGGAACTTTTTCTACTTTGAATTTTTCAAAAGCCTATAACTTGAGTACTATTTCAGATAGATAAATGATATTTCACATGTAAGTAAAAGATCTATATCTCTACCTTCTGTCAAATTTTGAGTAATTTCCGTTGAACTGAAGTACTAATTTACGCTATTTCCGATTTCTCAAAAAACGCATGTAAATTTATAAAGTACTAATAATATTGCGCACTATTATGCACATTTTGTTTTGGCGTTCGCTTGGTGCGCAATTCTTTTTTCTATGAGATTCTATTCTATTTTTAAAAGTTTAAGTAATTAAAAATCATGTCCATATTCCAAGTTATATAAGAATATTCGAGAAAGTTTAGGGGAGATCACTACCGGTTTATTTAAATTGGAATAGAGTTGCATGACTAAAAACCGTTGCGCACCTAATGAACATGATAATACGCGTATAATAGTGCGCAGTGTTTCTTCCAGACTTTTTTCTCCGGGTGGGGGGGGGGGGAGGGGGGGGGGGGGCGAAGCCCCTCCGAAGAGATGCCTGGAAGATACACTGCGGAATAGTTGGATAAGACAGCCTACTAATTTGGACACAATTTTAATTAATTAAAAAAATTAGGCATCAAATTTTAAATTTCAAAAGTCAAATTTAATGTTAGATTGCATTGTCTTCATGTCCCATGTGCCAACTTAGAACCGAATCTGTCAGTTGGAAGTGCCCGAAATTTCGCTCTGCCGTTTCGATCTAGACTGACGACAGACAGACAGAGGCAGTAAGTTAAATAAAAGCTTTTTTAAAAAGCTAAAAACTATTAGGCTTTTTCTTCTAATTTCACATGGAAAATGTAAAAAAAATGGGGGAGGGGGTATAGGTCATGCTGTTTTAAACAGAATACATTTTATTAAAAATACTGGAGCAGTTTTGAGAGAAGTGAAACATGCTTTATCCGAACTGTTTGACTTAGTGAAGTAAAGCTTCAGGTTAAAATGTCTACAGGATGGGTAAGCTAAATAAATAGCGATGTATAAGACTTTAAAAAATAATAATAATAAAAATTCTCTAATTATTTTTTGTATTTGCAAATTTTATATCAGTAATTCTTTAAAATGTAATAAAATATTACATTTCTGACTTTCAGCTTTTTCGGTTTTATTTTGCTTTTTACGACCGCTATGAAAACCAAAATACTACATCAACAACACTGATCAGGCTTCTCATCAAACTTAGCGGATGTCACAAGCGCGGCTGTTAGGCAGGGGAGATAAACGATACATTGTCTCGATTTTATTTCCTTTCCCTGTTATTCCCCTTGGTGGAGGAATAAACAAACTTCCGCGATCTCAGAAGAAAGGCAGACGTAATATTTTAAATGATCTCATCAATTACGTATTCTTAGATGTGTGACATTTTTTTTCTTTCTCGTATATACGTAGTATAGAGAAAGTATTGTAATCGTGCAAAAAAAAAATCGAGATTTTTACAAATCTCGACGTTTTACACCTCACTGATACGGAAAAACATAATTTTGCAATCTTGTCCGTATGTCTGTGTGTGTGTGTGTCTGTCTGTCTGTCTGTCCGTGTGTAAACACGATAACTTGAGTACCGTTACAGCTAGGTTGATGAAATTTCATATATAAGTATTTTATCAAAATCGTAGATCCGTATCAA